ACTGATTTTTTTTTTTTTTCAGAATGAATGTGCCTCACAACATGCAATGCCTAACAAAAAATATTAAACTTACAGATTTTTATTTAAGTTTGAATATGAAATGAACACAAATGGCACAAGTGGTTTATGCACTAACAACATAACTGGATCTACATTTCCAAATTTTATACTGTATGCCCACCTCTACTCAAGTGAACAGGCTCTGGCTGAAAGAGGAGGAGTAAAAAGGTATTCAAAAATCTTCGGGATTTCAGAAAGTTTGAAATAAATTACTAATTCTGTGCCTTTAAGTATCTGTCAAACAATCAGTCAAACTCTTCAACAGTTGAATTGTGTTTTAATGTGTGTAGTAATAAAAATGATCATCATAAATACTGTTGCTACTCTGAAATATTATAAGCCTCTTCTATCCTCAAATTGCATTTGAGAAGTTGATAATATAGAATATTAGTGATAACTGGTGAATGTTTATTTAGCTTGGAAACCTTTCAAAATTAACATAGTAGTTCTTTTAAGTTAAATTAAATTTAAAAACAAATTTTGTTTGGCTAAAATTTATCATGGTGTTATGAACTATGAAGTTTCCTCAAAATAAAGTTTTTGAGAGGGCTGTTTAACAAAAAAGCCACTTTTTGCTTATAGGACATCAGACATCAATGCACATGTGGATCAAGTTTATCAATATGGCTTGAAGCACGATGATACAATCTAAAGTAAATTATCTCTCATGTTGTTATTAGAAAAATAATACAAGTTAGAAAATAAAACTTATCTTTTGAGATTACGTACATTAAAAAAAATATATTACTAACAATATCAAGTGGGAAGATGAGCTTATAACCAAATTCACTTTATTAATACTGTTGCACTGCTTCTACACCTGATTTTTTTCTATATTATGAAATATTATAGATAATATAAACCATATATATATACACCCCTACATATAAAATAACCACAAATTCTCTGTGTTATTGAAATAGTATTCGACCTATGCATAAGAAGGCAAATAAACTTTTTGGTGACATTTTCTTTTGCTCGCTTAATCATCACACGTCTTGTAGAACACTTTCAAGGAAATGTTCTTTTACATAATGTAACTAAGTTAAAAACCATGGGAAGCATTTACTTCTAAGGACATATCTCAAATTTTTATTTCCTATAAATAAATAAATTATTGAATTTCATATTAGTGTGGAAAATTTTATTTATATGATTCAAAGAAACTACACACTTTCATACATTAAAAAAATCAGAAACTTACCTGTTTGGTCATACCCATATCGATTGTACCCCTTCCTATCATATCCAGGACGATTGTATCCTTCCCAATTAAAACCATCAAAAGGATAAAGGTCTCTATTATCATAATATCCACTTCGGTTATATCCACTGATATCATATCCAGCTCTATCATATCCATCCTTGTCAAACCCTTGCATGTCATATCCTACATAAGTAGAATTTGGAAAAACTTGTATATAGTAATTCATAATTGTATGCATAAAATATAATGTCTTTTGTGAACTACATCAAACTATAAAAATCAACTGATAAAAACAGGCAAAACATCTTCATACAATCAATGTTAATCACACAGGTGTCAGTGCATAATAAGGGTGTCTAGAGTAAAAAATTTTGGAAATTACAAGGTTTTAGTAAAATTACATATAAAGTTTTAATAGCATCATTAATACATGAACTGTTTCATACTAAGCCATGAAAAGCAATGTAACTATACCATCCATGTCATAACCATCAGGTCCAAAGAAGTGGTCCAAGGAACCATTACAAGGCTTTCCTTCTGAAGGTAAAGCATACGTGACACAGATGCTTTCTTCAGAATGAAGGACATCATGAGGAGCCAGGTTGAATGGAACCATGGGAGTGTCCAGATATTCTAAGGGATAGCTGTTGTCTCCAATATCACCATGTAATTTCTGCCACTTCCAATACAGCATATCAATATAAGAATGTACTGTATAGAACAGTGGGTCATAAGCAGCAGCTACAAAACAGAATTAATGTTGGTCAAACACATCTACAGGTTATACAAGAACAACACAGAAGAATTATAATACATTTTAATTCTAAAATTCTAATTTTAAAACATGATTAACATCCTCATACTGGATTTACCTATAAAATTAAATTGAAATAAATTCAAACAACAAACGTATTTGTGAACAAGGTATCAGGCTTATTCTATGTTTTTCATAACTTTTACAAACCAAATTCAAGGAGACCTGTCCATCATTTTATTACTATTAGAGAAAGTATGTATTTGTAGAATTTTTACACAAAGCTACAGAACAGCTATCTGCACATTGCCATCCCTAATTTGGAACTGATAGGCTAGAGGAAAGAGAGCTAGTCAATAGCACCTACCACCAATTTTTGGGCTACTCTTTTCAGGCCAAATAGTGAGACTTGACATCACTCTTACAGTGCACCAACGGCCCAATATATGAAGCACATTTTTGTGACAATAGTATGTAAACCATAAACCCTCAGATTCACAATCACTATAAAATGAGTAGTACTTCACTAAACAATGTATGTTTTTTTTTAAAAACAAAATACAGAAAAGCTATCTGCATAAAGACATCTCGACAGACTAGAGAGAAGATAGGTAGTCTTGTACTACACTTGTCAGACCTAATAATGAGATTAGATCATCACTCTTGTAGTGCATCAATAGACACAGCATGTGGAACACATTTTGTAGCAATGATATATGAACCAGGAACCCTCAGATTCACAGTAACTATAAAATGTATAGTCCTTCTTCTTCCATTAATCAGTGGTAAAAAAAATGCTGTTTGGTGTTAATTATGTTCCCTTTTCTAGTTAGTTCATAATATTCAAACTACAAAAACAACATTAGTATTGAGCAAGTTTTCGTATTCAATTGGAAGTTTAGAAAGAACAGATTTAAATGGTAACAATATAATGGAATTTCACACAGTGGAAGTAATTGTTTGTTTTTGAATTTCGCGCAAAGCTACACAAGGGCTATCTGCGCTAGCCGTCCCTAATTTAGCAGTGTAAGACTAGAGGGAAGGCAGCTAGTCATCACCACCAACCGCCAACTCTTGGGCTACTCTTTTACCAACGAATAGTGGGATTGACCGTCACATTATAACGCCCCCACGGCTGAAAGGGCGAGCATGTGTGGTGTAGGGGATTCAAACCCGCGACCAGTGGAAGTAAATGGTGAATACTCCTGATCCATGTTGAATCGTATTATCATTCCTGATAGCCACACTGATAGCCACCACAGTCTCCATATATCACCTGGCTGCTCTATGAGGCCACTTCAAATCACTGCTGTAATGTGACTGGTACCCCATATTAAAAATACGGTAATACCAAAAATCCTCTTTAATATGGATGTTTCAGATTTCCTTAAATCCCATCATCAGCATTAATATGTCAAAAAAAGTTAGTTCATAATATTCAAACTACAAAAACAACATGAACATTGAGCAAGTGCAAGCTAAATAATTGACCCAAATCTTGTATTCGATTGCACAGTGAGAATAATAACCACTCCATAATTCTAGAAAACTTTAAAATTCTCTACTCCGGAAACACAAATTAAACTCTTTATTAAAGAAAGCTTCTTCATATTAACTTTCATATTCAATCTGAAGTTTAGAAAGAACAGCTTTAAATGGTAACAATATAATGGAATGTACGATTATGTATGATTGTTAATATCTGTTCTGACTACTCCTGTCTTCACTCAGAAATTTCAAAAACTCATGACGTATTACAAAGTAATGATTATCCCCTTAATTTCTTACACTATCACATGAACATTTTTAACAAATAAAAATAGAACCTACCAAAAAGCCACACACTGTCTCAGTGTTATATTTGACATTTATTATTATTTTCAAGATACAGTGTTTATACTTATATTTAATTATATTTAAGCCTTTCTCCATAATAGTTTTTCTTAACAATGTTATTTATCAAACATGTGCATGCCACACATTTTATCGTACATTCCATTATATTGTTACTGTTTAAATCTGTTTTTTCTTAACTGCTGATTGAATACAAAAACTCGCTCAATGCTTATGTTGTTTTTGTAGTTCGAATATTATGAACTATATTTTTTGAGATATTAATGCTGATGATGAAATTTAAGGAAATTCCAAAATGTCCGTATTAAAGGTATTTTTTGGTATTACAGTTTTTTAATATTTATTTAACTTTGTTTTAAGTTAAACTGTACCCCCCCCCCAAAAAAAAATTATATTTCTGGTTAAAGTAAACTTATTCATGTTATTTTTAACCATAAACATTAACTAAGTATATTTCTCTGGCACAGATTCTTCATAAAAGTTGTCCAGCCTCACAAGAATTTAATCTTTACATATACAGGATTATTATAAAGTTAGTTGGTCTATTCTAACAACCATAGCTCAGAAACCAATACTTATAGAGTTCTAGTATTTGGTAGATGAGCAATGTAAAGGGTGCTTTCAGTAACAAAAATAACTGTTACCTGGAGATACTGATAGTGAAATTTGCACAGTCATCACACTAACAATGTTTGACATGACTGCCATTCATGTCCATTATTGCTTGACTTTTGTGAGAGAATATAATGTTGAATTATAACACTGTCCAATTTCCAACAATTTCACTTGGCTTTATCTGCTATGTATAAGGTCTATGGGATAAAAGTCACATTACATCAGTGACTTGAAGCGGCCTCATAGAGCAGCCAAGTGATATATGGAGACTGTGGTGGCTATCAGTATGGATAATATATGTGGATTACTTAATCCCCAAAAACATATTCCAGCACTATTGTCACAGAACATGAAATGTGGAATGGAGCATAATTTTGCATTTAGACTGTTTCATTCAACATTAAATTTACTCTAAAGTGCAGGAATGATAATACAATTCAACATGGATCAGGAGTATTCACCATTTACTGCCACTGTGTGAAATATATGATTTGTGAAGGAATGAGACCTAATGATCACACTCATAGTCAAGAATTCGACCCACACTGTAATCTTTTCATCTTATAATGGCCATTCCACAAAGTTCTGTGGATTGCCTTCACCCTGATGATACATTTGTGTTGACCTGATCAAAAAGAGAAAAGTGAACCACATCACTCTGTAAACATTATCTAACAAAGTGTTGCTAATCTGCACTCAAATCAGGAACTGACATGCTCTTTGTTGCTACCAGCTCATACATGACCTTTATCCTGAAAGATGCAGCCTCATTTCTGTTATATGCATGTGGTAATCCAATGTGTATAGCATCTTCAGCACCACATTCCCTGTGAGGATTTCCTTCTCCAATAGCAACTTATGTATGTCTAACTTCCACCACAACTTAAATGAGTGTTGTGGAGGGCAATATTTACAAGATACATCACCAACTAATACTTTTATTTCAATTTTTTATCAGGTTCCCATAAGCCTCATTGCCAAGTAGTTCTCTTCATTTATTACTTACATGTCAATAAGATATTATTGCTGCACCAGTATCATTATCATTGCTGTTGTTGTAATTTATGAGAGCAATCATAATGTTCAAAAGTAACCTGCCAGAAGTCATTTCTGAAGGTAAAATGAACTCTGACATGTTTTATGTTGGTTATACATAGCCCCCTGGTATGCAAATTTCATGATCAGCACATGCTGGCAACAATTATTTTTGACACAGGCATCGTATTTTCATTTACCTTATTAATTCATCTGTCAAATACATTAGTTCTCTAACGATTATTTTCTAAGTAATGAACATTAGAAAAGACCAACTAACTTTATAACAACACTGTAAAGCATCGTCAAGTCAAGAAAATTGTGCCATTTTCTTTTCTTTTAACAAATCAAATTATTAATAACGGCTAAGCATATATCTCACTTTTTTCTTCAGAAGGAAACCATTTCACCACATTTCACCCTACATGTAGTTTATCTTCACATCAATGAAGAAGGACCTATAATTTAATGTTAGCAACTTAATCCATGTATTGGTATATACATTTGTTATAACAAAAACAACTAAACATTCTACCCTTATGTGAACATCCTCAAAAAATTTAAGCATATCTGTATAAGTTATTCACATTCTGTTTTTAGTACCTTTGGCAGCATTTTTATAAATTTAGAATCCTAACCCTATTAAAACATCGTATAAGTTCATTAAATACTTATACAGTGACTGTGAGCACTAGCCAAAAATAAGAAAATTTATTCAAAACTGTTCTCTTCATCTTCTTACCTGCTGTTGCCAAATCCCCACCAACAAAACTATGAATCTGTACTGCTAATGACATCATACTTTCACTAAATTCTAAGAAACTGTTGCCAGCAAGAGCATGGGCTATTTCCACCATATTTGGTATTACTACTCTGGTATCAAACTGTCGCTTTAAGCATGGCCACCATGAAGTTGGAGGATTTCCTCGGAAAGGGTGATCAACAACACAATATTGACTTCCTTCCCCATTACCGCCAAAGTAATTAGGTTGCCAGAGAATAGCATTGGAAAAGTTTCCAGCATCAACTGAGACATCAAAATATGGAATAAAAACACCACAATCTATTTCTTGGATTTGTTGTTCCATCTGACGTACAAAAACTCTATGCCATGGTAAAAAGTACAGGATATCATGGGAATGCATGATATGAGACATATAAAGGTCCCGGAACTTTTCCCAAATATTTTCAACTCCAGATAGACGAAGGAGCTTCAGGGCATTGTGAAATCTTCTAATTTCATCTCTGGTCATATCCCTCATCTCCTTTCGAATAACAAGCTTTGTACATCTAAAATGTTATATTCAAATAATATAGAAATAAATGCATATAATATAAAACTGATTATTTTAATTCTGCTTAGTAAATTCTGAATTCAACACATTTAGAAATTTAAAAAAATACAAGTTATGTAAGTTAACTATGTAAATTACCTAGTCAACTGGATATTTTTATACATGTATCCTGAATAGATATTAAAAGGTTGTTGAAACTGTGAAAACAAAAGTTATAAGCTCTGTGGAAGAATTATTTATAGAAACATAAGACACCTCTGTCTTAAGATACATGCAAATTAACAACTTTAATGGTTAGTTGTTTTTTTTTTCAATAATAGTTTATAGTCTTAATGTTCTGCACAAAGTAACGTTAAAAACGTTTAACCATATTTAATATTATTTTTATTAATATTATAATATAATCTAAGCAAACCATGAATGTATTTTATAGTTATATATGTCGGCTGTAAATTAGAAGAATTTGACTTTTCTGATTCTTCTCAAGTTTTGTTGTCATTGTATCAGCTCATTAACCTCTTTTTATTTTACATTCCTACTAGTAAATCATAGGCCAGGTGCTTGTCCTTATGTTTTTAACTGTCATTTGGTGTCTGAGTTTCAAATGCCTTTTTGTGCTTAAATTTAGTTGCTTTATGTGTTTGAATTCAATTTTTAATTCTGCCTACTTTACTTCTTGATCTTGTAGAAGTTGATATTATGGTTCCTTGCAAGTATATCAATAACACAAAGTTGATATAACTTTTGTTCCCAACTCAAAGCATATCCAAAACAGCAGAAGAATAGTTATAGCAATAGTTTGAACAAAGGCAGGCAATTCAAAGCATGGTCAAACAATGCTTAAAGCAAGTCAAATAATTGTTTATAGCAACTCAGAGTATTCAAAACAACTTTTAAAGCAGCTCAAAACATCTGATAAAGAGCAAGTAGAAACATGATCATGAGGAGCTCTGAATGACTCAAACTCTGCTGATGAATCACAGTATTACAAAAAAAGAATTAATATTTTATGCGCATTTGATAATTTGACAATGTTCAGTATCTCTTAGAACCATTCTCATAACATGACAAAAAGTAAACTGGATGGTGCTACCATAGTTAACTAAGGTATCCTTATTTGGCTATTCTTACCTATCACATACGCTTGGTCTCAGTTGCCTAGCTCATATATATTAAATGATTTATCTCTAACAAAATACTGACACATAGTTTAACAGTAAATGTAGATTAAATAAGCCATCAATTCACAAAGTATGGCTAGTACATTTTTGATTTACGTGAATAAAAGATACTGCAACATCTCAAACCTGCATTAAAAACACATTTCATGGTAAAACCATGCTTTAATCAAGTTGTCCCAGCTTTGAATGAATACTGAGAAAATACTTCTCTTGATAAATGTTTTGAGACTCCACACAAGTTTATTTAAACTTACCCACAACGTACAGACCCATCACTCATGCATTCACACTCTTCACACCCTAACATCATTTTGGCTCCACTTGGGTAAGTTATATTACCCAATATACAAAAACCAACTGGCAAAGGGTTACATTCTTCTTCGTTGCAAGTGACACCTGGATGGAATGCAACAACTTCATATTCAATCTCCTTAAGATGCAGCCGTTGGCACTCGTCAAATGTGTGTGGCTGAATAAAACAAATGAAGTAATGTAAAAAACAACAAATATTGGATATTCATATAATGGACATGATACGTCCATATACAGGCCACAGAGACATTTTTACTAGTTAATGTTTTATGTGCAGAAACTACTTAGGACTGCAAAAGATAAGAAAATTACCAAAGGCACACAAAGAACATTTTGATCATTTTATATACAATTTTGTCCATGTAACTGTCATTAGCTGAGCTTTTACGTCATTACTTAATTATTACTTATCAACACAATATTAAAATATTTAAACATATTAAAAATTATACTAAGAAACCATAAGATTTCACTGACAAAATTTTTTTCTGTCATCAATAAAAAAATCTAGATTTTAACAATATGTCTTAAATAAACATACAAACCTTGCATTCCATATAAGGCTTTACTGGTTCAATAACGTTAGGAAGACCTTTATTTCTGAAGCAACAAGCTCCATATCTACACGTATTTTCACATTCTGAGAGTGTCAAAAATTTGTTGGGTGAAACACCACATCCTAATTAAAACAAAAATATATATATAAAGATCTATTGACTTTGCTCCAAAACATGACTCTAGACTTTATATTTCTGGACTTTTGAAAATGATTATGATTACATTTTAATTTAATTAAGTGATTAGTTCAGAATTTGCTTTTAAAATAAAGAGTACAAAGTAACTAAGCATGGTGGCTTTCTCTCAGCTAGTTATACAGAAACAAGATCACCTCACTTGGCTTAAAACCACAAATTATTGAAGCTCAGTATGCTGGGGGAATTACATAATCATGCACTTGACAGAATCGTTTTTAAAACAAGTGTATAAAATCTTGAAATCTTGAAAGCAATTACATCCAATTAGTTGAAATATTTGTAATATCGGAAACTACAAAAAGTTTACTACAAGGAACTGGTTACATTTGTAAAACATATTTACTGTTGTATGCTATATTATTAATTTTTCAATTTAGATGTCAACTAGAGGGTACATGACATTAAAGTTGGCCTACGGTAACTAGAATGTTCTAGATGATGTCATGACAATATAGTAAATTCAAAGAATATCTAGAAGAGAGAAATCAGTTATAAATACATGTCAGTAGATGTGAAGTAGTAGTAAATTTCAAAGTGAAATATTCAGCATGTGAATGCTTAGTAGTTGTTGATTGAGTATTTGTCAGTCTTTCAGTTGGTAGAGTGCCAGTCATTCAATGAACTATTTGGACCAGGGTTAGTTATCATGAGTTACTCAAACTATAAGCCATGAAACTGTACAAGTAAGTTTATTTCTATGTTAGTCATAGTACCATTATCACGGTATTTCTGTTAATGTGTCAATTGTACATTTAGGCCTACAAGTTATAACAGCATACAAGTGAAGGTAGCTTGTATAAAAATAACCTAAATTGTTTTTGTTACATGGAGTGGACTTCAAATTACTTTCAAACAATTTAAAATAACCACCTAATGAAAGAAAAATGTTACAGCACAAGGTTTTCAGTACTTTACACCAGTTATGTTTATAACAATTATAATAAAAATGGAATGTTCAAACTGTAATTGCTTATAAATTTTCACATGACACTTGTACTAAAAGTCTAAATTTATATAATGTATGTACTACTAGTATTTGAAGCAGAGATGAGGATAAATGCCTTATGGCCAAATTACACATTTATAAGATGAAATATTTTAGTTACGATAAACTTAGAAAATTATAATGCAATTTTTTTTTGTCCAAAGTCTACAAATGCATATTTACAAAATGTTAATTATCATTTGATGCTTAAACATTTACATTATATATGTATATATATATATTCACGTGTGTTACATATAATATGCAGCTCACCATTATATAAAGCCTATATCTTTTTTTTACTGGAAAGGGGTGGAATTCCCCAAAACTGGTATAACTCAGTGACAAGTGGGGAACTGAATAAGAGACTGGGCTTCATATTTATTTAGTAGTTATATATATATGTTCTCTGAAAGCAAATCATAATCATTTTTAATAAAAGCAATTCAGCTAGTTCTAAAAAAAATCAAAACTTGACTTAAAATGTTATATATGGAAATGTAACTTAAAATAAACATTTCATATTTCAACTTACCAGAATAAACAACTTTCTCACATTGCTGGTTTACAATGTTGAAGTGCCATCGCATTTCCTCCTCAACACACCCTCCATCAGTACTTGGATAAATACAACAATTAATGCGAAACTCACAGTGTTTGCCAGTGTACATTGGTGGGCACTCACAGGAAAAGTTTTTATTCCCAAGTTTTCCATGACAGTGTCCTCCATTTATACATGGATTTGAGGTGCAAGGATCTACACATTCAGGTCGATTTGTTAAAATCCTACATATTACTCTTCCTCCCTGTGAGACAAAACAACATTCTAACATGAAATAGAAACTAGATTATTACTTATGGGGTTTTTCAAATACATTATAAATCTGCATAATATACTGTTACATATCTGCTTGTTTGTTAATTTCTGGTAGAAATTCTTTCCGAGGAACTTCAGCAATACAAGTCCTTTCTTGATTAAACCAGTTTATTCTTTCTCGATACAAACTTTTAGTACACATTAACTCCAC